GGGCACCAGCAGAGGAAGGGTTGCATGTGCAGAAATGTTGAAATGCTGGAACTTGAGAATTCATAAGCATGTAATATGGTGATCTTAAAGAATAACTAAGACCACCAAATGAATCCAGAACAAGGCAATTCTGCTGATTAACAAGGACAAGAAATAGACTCACTGACATTGATTTCACGAAGAAGATGTGTTCACCTGGAACCTTCTTCATCGACTACACTTTCCAGAGTTGTGAAAGACAAAGACTGCCTAGAGGAGTCAGAAACAGACGATTAGATGGAGATAGCATGAAATAAAAAGAAGGTAAAGGCTTGTCCTGGAAGGGTAGTTTTGGAATGGAGTGTCATCTTTATAGCGAAAGTGGAGTTTGCCATAAAAATGCAGACTTTATGAACTGGAAGAGCAATATCGTCATGGTCCATGTAATTGTTCATGAGAGTTTTGTGGAGGTGTAGTTTTGTAGTGGAGTCCTAAATGGTGGTTGGGAGCTACTCTACATGTACAACTGTAAGCATAAAGGTGTGTGGCAGTGTAGTTTTGAGGTGGAAGTGGAGCTTTGAGGTAGAATTGCAGTTTTGAAGTGGAAATATAGATTTAAAGAAGAAGCAGGTAAAGTCTGCATACGAGCCAAGTAGGGCAGTGCTTATCTCCGGTTTCTGTAGCATGAAGGGATAAGAAGTATTTCTACTCCCCCCTGGATGGGATGCTAGTCCATTGCAGGGTTACCCCCAGCATTAAATATGCTGGTACCCATTTATACACCTGGGTGGAGAGAGGCACTGTGAGAGGACAGTGTCTTGCCCAAGAACACAACACAATGTCCCTGGCCAGGACTTGAACCCGGACTGCTTGATCCAGAGTCAAGCACACTAACCATGAGGCCAAAGAAGAAGTACATCGTTAATTTTGAAGTGAAAGTGTAGTTTTGTTGTCTGTGGAAGTATAGAGCCTCACCCGTGATCCTTGATACAAGCTTCATTAGCTTGAACCAGTTTGGCAGAAAATAAAAAATGTTCTTACTTTTTCTGGCCTGAAATACAAACTAGAAACTCTCTGATCACTTTTCATGACCTTCCAGGAATACAACATTTCCCTGTGGCCTCTTTTATTTGAGTGATGTAGAGAACATTGCTCAAAAATGGTACAAATCATGAATATAAATAGGACTGACACATTTTCTTCATGGCAGTTAAGAAAGATCTCTTGATTAACAGTGCCAATATTTACACAGTTCACAGAAAACCACTTAGTTGCGTTGTTCTTGTATAATTTATACTTTTTATTAAGAACTTTTTTTCAATCAGCTGTATAAGGTTTTGTATGGAAGTGAGGAAGCTTTGCTCTCCAGAAACCTTTTCTGTAATTATTAATCACTACAAAAGAAAACTGCTGGCATAATTTTCCTCAACACACAATTATTCAGGACAGTATTTTTGCAAGTCACAGCGAGGCTGGATAATCACACACTCTATATATACAATTCATATTGACTCACTAGTCAAGATTTAGAAAAACAAACAAATCCTTCTTACCTCTCACTTTCTTCCTTGGATTCTGCTATTGTCTTCACAAGTTCTTGTTCTGTCTTTCCCTTTGCATCTTTTTGCTTTGATTCATACTCTTCCTTAGATCTCTTCAACACTTCTTGCATAATAGCATCTTCATCCATGTTTGGAACAGCTGGAGGGGGTGCATGGGGTGGAGCAACTGGTACAGGCATTGGCATTTGAGTTGGCATTGGCACTGGCATTGGTATTTGGACATTGTGCAGCTGCTGAAGAAGCTGCAGGGCCTGTAACTGTAGCTCAACATTTTTCTGAATCATCAATCTCTTGAACACTTCAAAATCCTCAGCAGCCCACATCTGATCAAACACATCCTTTGTAACATGGAAAGAGAAGACTAATCAGAAAATTTCACATAGCACATAGTAATATGCAAAAGTACATGTACATTATTAAAGTACATGTAAATTAATAGAAAATGCATGCATGCTTTCCATATTATTGATTTGCAAGAGGCACAAACAGCTTGTAGTTGGAAAAGTGCACTGGACATCTGATTGAGCAGTCTGAGTGTTCTTGGGCAAGATATTTTATTCTCAAATTGCCAAGACTCCTCTTCCATGTGTTTTAATAGGAAATTATACTTGAGGTAAAAAGTTTAAGTCTGGATCGGGACACTGGTCCCTAAGTTTATTACAGTTTCTATAGCATGAAGCAACAAGGAGAATTTCTACTCCTCCTGGATGGGATGCTAGTCCATTGCAGGGTTTCCCCGCAGTGTTATATTCACCAGTACCCATTAATACACCTGGGTGAGGAGAGGTACTGTGAGAGTTAAGTGTCTTGCCCATGAACCCAGTACAATCACCCTGGCCAGGGCTTGAATCCGGACCGCTTGATTTGGAATCTAGCTTGCTAACCATGACACTGCCATGCCTCCACAGCAGTGGAGAATATAAATACTCCTAATTGCTCAATGCTACAAAAACCACAGATTAATACCAGCCTCACAGGCTACTAGACTCAAATGCAGACTTACAAGTGAATTACCTCTGTCAGTAGCACTGTCGGAATTGGAAGGTGAAGGATGGCAGCCAGAATGACAAGCCACGTACATACATAATTTCATGCCTTCATTTTTTTGACCCAAATTTATAGAATAACTAAAAAGCTAATATCTCCAAGGAAAATAAACATTGCAAATATAAAACAAAAAAGTACCATTACTAACAATAATGCCGGGGCAGATCCAGTTTTCTTAGGAGAGGTTGCACCACTAAGGAATGGCATAACTGACTGGTGTAAAAGCGAATACAAAGAAGAAGGCTTCATCTCAGGGGAGGGGGGTGCACCCCCCTGTATCCTCCCCCTAGATCAACCCCTGATAATGTGATGTGATGTGATGATCTGTTAATTTTCACCTGTAATGTTATAATGCGAATTTTCAAATATATTCTTCATTAATAAAGTGCATGCTTGTTGCACCTGTAGTATCTATCCAGGGTTAACTTTTGGTTCTGCTTTAAGGTGTTGCATCTCAAATTTCCACATTTGTTACATCCCCTGATCCAAATGTTTTATTTCTTTCCTTCACTGTGTTGAGTCAAAGTGAGAAATTTGAATCTTTCCTGTTTGGACTCCAACTCATTGCCAGTGTGCTTTGGGGCTCAAATTCAACTGTAATGAGAAGTGAAGAAAGAAATCCTCAACGAACAAGTACTGTATCTCTCCACCTACCCTATTCATGCCATTAAATTGTGGACTGCCACTTCCATCTTTACATGCCATCATGAACTGTTCTGCAGATATTCCTACATCCTTCAAAAAACTTGCCAATAATGTTTCCACCTTTAAGAAAAAAAAAATTTTATGGTCAATGACACAGAAAAAACAATGTTATCACAAGTGAAAACAAATATCAATAACTTGGAAAGTAAGGGTGCTGCATCAGTTAAATGGTTATTGGCTACAAGTCAGTCTATATCCTCGGGTGCTTTTATTTGCACACTACTCTTGACTAAACAATTATTAGTATCACCCAACTAGTGGACTAATGCAAATCCTGCATTTTGATTGGCTATGCTACTAGGGGACTATTAGTAATAGTCCTCGAGTAGCGAAA